TCTCTCTCTCTCTCTCTCTCTCTCTCTCTCTCTCTCTCTCTCTCTCTCTCTCTCTCTCTCTCTCTCTCTCTCTGTGTGTGTGTGTGTGTGTCACACACACACACACACACACACAAAACTTGCAGGGAAGAGAATGACATGAACACAGAGCAGAGGAACAGCGAGGAGGGAATACCAAGAGGGCAGCCGACACTCACCTTGCCACGGGGAGCGAAAACGAAGAGGACAGGAGGTTGGCCTTCACTGCGCATCAAGAAAAATAATGGCCGCGCATCAACAACATAGGGGTCCAAAATTGAATTCAAATTTCCAATGTACAGGGGCAGCACAGGAAGATGGGGYCCCCTTACGAGGGCATATGGCGCAGAGGCTGATGGAATGGAACCGCCAGTTGAGGGAGGGCATCCTGGAAAGTTGCGGCCACTACCGACAGGGGCCTACCGAAAAGATTTTTAGGCCCAGGAGCGTGACAGGGTAAATCGGCTGTTGGAGGGGCGCGAAGCAAATGAATGGAAAATACAGGGGCACCAGACAAATCTTCCCTTTATTTATGGGGAGCAACACAAGCTGGCAAACGGGCCCAGCGTCCCTTATAATAACAGAAAATCATAGGATTCGCACCGGGGTCCCCACAGTCTACCCGGTAAAACCAGTCACCCGTACCGGAGGATTATCCGGTTTCTCATAAGTGGATATAGCTAACCAAGCAGGAGGGAAAGGCACAATAACACCTATTTGCTATATAACTTTCTCAGCCATCTATGCCGAGATTATCCCAACAACCTGAATGCGCAAATCATACGTGGGACTGAGGTGAGTCGGCACAATTGTAGCTATCCAAACTACCCATTGACCGAAATTATACTCATACCCAGGGCCCCTTTGGCCACATGGGCCCACGAAAGAGCGTCGGTTTCGGCGACTGAATCTGGACGTGTTTGTCAGAGAAATCGTGATTTCCGTTCGTAGGCATTAAACGCGTCGATATTCAGGTGCTTAATCCAATCCTCTTTCTGTGTGGGACCTTCCCCCCTTCCCCCCGCCC